CTCCTCTACCCTCCCCACTTCTAATTAACCCCGTGAACTGACATCGTGGACCCACAGCAGCAGTGTAGTGTGAAGAGATTTGTGCCCAGGCCAAGGCTTCAACGGGATTACGCTAAGCACAAAGTCCACAGAAGCAGCAAACCCAGCGCTCTGTGAGACCACCTGGCTCACGGTTGATTAAAAGGAGGACCGTGAGCTGTTTGATCTTCCCTCATCAAAGAGTCCGTAAGCAAGCTTCATTTTACACTACTGTAAGGTGGCGATGGCTTGTGACTGCAGTGAGTGCCTCGAGCCTGAGAAAGCACTCTGGCAATGGGGGTTCGAAGCCCACGCTAGCAGGAAGAGAGTGTAGCCACAGCTTGAAGCTCCAAGACTCTCTCAAGGAGGAAGAATCCTTGCTCCGACCCCTTAGCAGAAGTTAGTACTGTTTCTAGCCTACGTCTTGATTCCACCAAGGTCCTAATACAATGTACTAGCTGGAAATTTGGGGATGAAGAAACAAAACAATTCATTCATCCGTTCTCATTCATTCATTCATTCATTCATTCTCTTCCTCTCTTCTTCTCAGGCATCTTTTAGAAAACCAAGCAGTCACCTAATTCACCATATTTCCAGGAACTTAGTTTATATTCTCCAAAATCAGCAAGTTCCCAGAGTCCACAGCACTGAGTATTACTCAATAAAGCTGTCTGAAAGACATTTAACCTGAAGACAAAATGCCTTGTCCCGGACTACTTAAAGACTATTTTTGTATCCAGAAGGGGGCTCCCTTGTCTTCCCAGTTTGACATTTACAAAAGAAAAGAAAGCTAGATCCCCAATCACAAAGGGACTGTTGTCACCTTGCAGTCCAGTGTTGAGCTTTAGCCCTAGCTTCCAGTGTGGTGGTGGCAAGGGGCCCTTTTGGTCACAGCCCTTGGAGGATGCCAGTATGATAAAGGAAGTATAACAAGAACCCAGTGGCACAGAAGAAAATTCAACCTCCTATATATCTGCTGTTGGTGCTCCACCTTATGCTGGCACTGTCCTCTATGATTGGAAATATTAAATCCTTCAGGGGATAGTATGAGGCAGCTGGACTCCTAGACCCTACTCATCACAGGTCTTTCTGGGCGTCAGGACCTCCTGAAAGATGCAGGCTGGTGTCTGGCTTGGTATCATTCTCATCAGACATTAGTAAGCCTCCTTGGCTTCTGAGCTCCAGGCTGTTTGTTTCAAAGGCCCCAGGATCATTTTCTGAGCTGAGTTAGATAGTCTTGTGACGCTGGATTTATCTAAGCTAGCCATCTCCAGGGACAGAGTGAAGATAATCATCCCAAATTCACTGGCTCCTCTTTGTTGTACAGAAAACCTACCATTTCAAGGGAGTCCAAACATGAGTCAGCTCTTCTATCAGGATGAGCACAGAAACTAAGAATCTTTTAAAAGTTCTATCAGGATGAGCATAGAAAC